GGCTGCAGACCTGGTCCAGCAATTGGCTCCTGGAGTTCAATCCCACCAAGTGCAAAGTCATGAAGATTGGGGAAGGGCAAAGAAGACCGCAGACGGAGTACAGTCTAGAGGGCGAGAGACTACACCCCTCACTCAAGGAATAAGGTCTTGGGGTGTGTATAACACCAGGCACATCTCCTGAAGCGCACATCAACCAAATAACTGCCGCAGCATATGGGCCCCTGGCAAACCTCAGAACAGCATTCCGACATCTTAATAAGGAATCATTCAGGACCCTGTACACCGTGTATGTTAGGCCCATATTGGAGTATGCGGCACCAGTTTGGAACCCACACCTAGCCAAGCACGTAAAGAAACTAGAGAAAGTGCAAAGGTTTGCCACAAGACTAGTCCCAGAGCTAAGAGGTATGTCCTACGAGGAGAGGTTAAGGGAAATCAACTTGACGACACTGGAGGACAGGAGAGATAGGGGGGACATGATAACGACTTACAAAATACTGAGAGGAATTGACAAGGTGGACAAAGACAGGATGTTCCAGAGACTACACAGCAACAAGGGGACACAGTTGGAAGCTGAAGACACAGATGAATCACAGGGATGTTAGGAAGTATTTCTTCAGCCACAGAGTAGTCAGTAAGTGGAATAGTTTGGGAGCGATGTAGTGGAGGCAGGATCCATACATAGCTTTAAGCAGAGGTATGATAAAGCTCACGGCTCAGGGAGAGTGAACTAGTAGCGATCAGTGAAGAGGCGGGGCCAGGAGCTCGGACTCGACCCCTGCAACCTCAACTAGGTGAGTACAACTAGGCGAGTTCACACATACACACACACACACACACACACACACACACACACGTGCCTGGCGTCAGGGTGTTCAGGTAACAGTTTCGAAGTGAGATTACTATGAGAGTTTACTGTGTGTGTCCAGCGTGTAAGTGGGACACTTAAAGGAACTACACCAGTACACACCCTGCTAGAGTGACCCTGCTGGTGATGGTACCATCATCATAGTGAAGGTACCATCATCAGCATGGTACCATCTTGATGATGGTACCATCATCATGGTGATGGTTCCATCTTGATGATGGTACCATCATTATGATAATATGGTATCATGGTATCATGATCATGGTACCTTCATCAGGATGGTATCATCACCATGATGAAGGTACCATGATCATCATGATGGTACCATCATCATGGTGATGGTACGATGCTGATGGTACCTCACTTCTGACAATACACCCCCAGCAGCAGTGAGAGCAATATACCCCAGTGTCAGCTCAGACTGACACTACTGTAGTCTCCCAGCTCAGACTGACACTACTGTAGTCTCCCAGCTCAGACTGACACTACTGTAGTCTCCCAGCTCAGGCTGACACTACTGTAGTCTCCCAGCTCAGACTGACACTACTGTAGTCTCCCAGCTCAGACTGACACTACTGTAGTCTCCCAGCTCAGACTGACACTACTGTAGTCTCCCAGCTCAGACTGACGCTACTGTAGTCTACCAGCTCAGACTGACACTACTGTAGTCTCCCAGCTCAGACTGACACTACTGTAGTCTCCCAGCTCAGACTGACACTACTGTAGTCTCCCAGCTCAGACTGACACTACTGTAGTCTCCCAGCTCAGACTGACATACTGTAGTCCCGCTCAGACTGACACTACTGTAGTCTCCCAGCTCAGATGACACTACTGTAGTCTCCAGCTCAGACTGACACTACTGTAGTCTCCCAGCTCAGACTGACGCTACTGTAGTCTACCAGCTCAGACTGACACTACTGTAGTCTCCCAGCTCAGACTGACACTACTGTAGTCTCCCAGCTCAGACTGACACTACTGTAGTCTCCCAGCTCAGACTGACACTACTGTAGTCTCCCAGCTCAGGACTGACACTACTGTAGTCTCCCAGCTCAGACTGACACTACTGTAGTCTCCAGCTCAGACTGACACTACTGTTAGTCTCCCCAGCTCAGACTGACGCTACTGTAGTCTCCCAGCTCAGACTGACGCTACTGTAGTCTCCCAGCTCAGGCTGACGCTACTGTAGTCTCCCAGCTCAGGCTGACACTACTGTAGTCTCCCAGCTCAGACTGACACTACTGTAGTCTCCCAGCTCAGACTGACACTACTGTAGTCTCCCAGCTCAGGCTGACACTTACTGTAGTCCCCAGCTCAGACTGACACTACTGTAGTCTCCCAGCTCAGACTGACACTACTGTAGTTCTCCCAGCTCAGACTGACACTACTGTAGTCTCCCAGCTCAGGCTGACACTACTGTAGTCTCCCAGCTCAGACTGACGCTACTGTAGTCTCCCAGCTCAGGCTGACACTACTGTAGTCCCCCAGCTCAGGCTGACACTACTGTAGTCTCCCAGGTCAGGTTGACACTACTGTAGTCTCCCAGCTCAGACTGACACTACTGTAGTCTCCCAGCTCAGGCTGACACTACTGTAGTCTCCCAGCTCGGACTGACACTGCTGTAGTCTACCAGCTCAGGCTGACACTACTGTAGTCTCCCAGCTCAGACTGACACTACTGTAGTCTCCCAGCTCAGACTGACACTACTGTAGTCTCCCAGCTCAGGCTGACACTACTGTAGTCTCCCAGCTCGGACTGACACTGCTGTAGTCTCCCTGCTCAGGCTGACACTGCTGTAGTCTCCCAGCTCAGACTGACACTCCTGTAGTCTCCCAGCTCAGGCTGACACTACTGTAGTCTCCCAGCTCAGGCTGACACTACTTCAGTCTCCCAGCTCAGGCTGACACTACTTCAGTCTCCCAGCTCAGGCTGACACTACTTCAGTCCCCCAGCTCAGACTGACACTACTTCAGTCTCCCAGCTCAGACTGACCCTACTTCAGTCTCCCAGCTCAGGCTGACACTACTTCAGTCTCCCAGCTCTGGCTGACACTACTTCAGTCTCCCAGCTCAGGCTGAAACTACTGTAGTCTCCCAGCTCAGGCTGACGCTGCTGTAGTCTCCCAGCTCAGACTGACACTACTGTAGTCTCCCAGCTCAGACTGACACTACTGTAGTCTCCCAGATCAGGCTGACACTACTTCAGTCTCCCAGCTAGGCTGACATGTGACCCCACTCGTAAGCTTCCCAGCTCAGATGACACTCTGTAGTCTCCCAGCTCAGGCTGACACTACTTCAGTCCCCGTCAGACTGACACTCAGTCTCCAGCAGGCTGACACTACTTCAGTCTCCCAGCTCAGGCTGACACTACTTCAGTCTCTCAGCTCAGGCTGACACTGCTTCAGTCTCCCAGCTCAGGCTGACACTGCTTCAGTCTCCCAGCTCAGGCTGACACTGCTTCAGTCTCCCAGCTCAGGCTGACACTGCTTCAGTCTCCGAGCTCAGGCTGACACTGCTCAGTCCCAGTCAGCCTGACCTGCTTCAGTCTCCCAGCTCAGACTGACACTGCTTCAGTCTCCCAGCTCAGACTGACACTGCTTCAGTCTCCCAGCTCAGACTGACACTGCTTCAGTCTCCCAGCTCACACTGACACTACTTCAGTCTCCCAGCTCAGGGACACTACTTCAGTTCCCCAGCTCAGGCTGACACTACTTCAGTCTCCCCAGCTAGACTGACACTTCATTGCCAGTCAGACTGACACTAATTCTGTCTCCCAGCTCCAGACTGACACTGCTTCAGTCTCCCAGCTCAGGCTGACACTGCTTCAGTCTCCCAGCTCAGGCTGACACTACTTCAGTCTCCCGCTCAGACATGACATACTTCAGTCTCCCAGCTCAGACTGACACTACTTCAGTCTCCCAGCTCAGACTGATACTACTTCAGTCTCCCAGCTCAGACTGACACTGCTTCAGTCTCCAGTCCAGTGCACTGCTCAGTTCCCAGCTCAGGTGACACTGCTTCAGTCTCCAGCTCAGGCTGACACTACTTCAGTCTCCCAGCTCAGGCTGACACTGCTTTCAGTTCCCAGCTCAGACTGACACTCTTCAGTCTCCATCAGGCTGACATGCTTCGCTCCCAGCTAGGCTGACACTGTTCAGTCTCGTACGCCTTCAGTCTCAGTAGACTGACACCTTCAGTCTCCCAGCTCAGACTGACACGCTTCATCTCTCTCCATGACACTGCTTAGTCTTCAGCATAGGACTGCATCTTCAGTCTCCCAGCTCAGGTTGACAACTACTTCAGTCTCCACTCAGGCTACATGCTATCAGTCTCCAGCTCAGACTGACACTCTTCAATCTCCCAGCTCAGACTGACACTGCTTCAGTCTCCCAGCTCAGGCTGACACTGCTTCAGTCTCCCAGCTCAGGCTGACACTACTTCAGTCTCCCAGCTCAGGTTGACACTACTTCAGTCTCCCAGCTCAGACTGACACTGCTTCAGTCTCCCAGCTCAGGCTGACACTACTTCAGTCTCCCAGCTCAGATTGACACTACTTCAGTCTCCCAGCTCAGGCTGACACTGCTTCAGTCTCCCAGCTCAGACTGACACTACTTCAGTCTCCCAGCTCAGACTGACACTACTTCAGTCTCCCAGCTCAGACTACACTGCTTCAGTCTCCCAGCTCAGGCTGACACTGCTTCAGTCTCCCAGTTCAGGCTGACACTACTTCAGTCTCCCAGCTCAGACTGACACTGCTTCAGTCTCCCAGCTCAGGCTGACACTACTTCAGTCTCCCAGCTCAGATTGACACTACTTCAGTCTCCCAGCTCAGGCTGACACTGCTTCAGTCTCCCAGCTCAGACTGACACTACTTCAGTCTCCCAGCTCAGATTGACACTACTTCAGTCTCCCAGCTCAGACTGACACTACTTCAGTCTCCCAGCTCAGGCTGACACATTTTAACACCTTGCATGAGCACCATCTTGTGTGGTGGAAACACAGCTAGCACTTGTTACCACTGTGATTATCATATAGAATAATGTAGCAGCACACTGCTGGTGTAGTGATGAGTGTAACTTGTAAAATGGTTGATTGGTTGACTGGTAGCTGGTTGACTGGTAGCTTCCTGGGTCGTTATGAAGGAAGATAGACTTGAGGTAATTTACTCAAGTCACTTCCTGACTTGAGCTAAGTGCCAATGGCCCACCTTTGTTGTGGCACTGAGATGAGTAGGTATCCTGCCTTTACTTCCGTCTCTCTCTCTCTCTCTCTCTCTCTCTCTCTCTCTCTCTCTCTCTCTCTCTCTCTCTCTCTCTCTCTCTCTCTCTCTCTCTCTCTCTCTCTCTCTCTCTCTACACACATGTTGTATAAGGTTAGGTTAAGGTTCCTAACTTTATTTACAAGCTAAGATCTGTTACCTACATGAGCTCATTTGAAAGCATTTTCCATTGTTAGGAGACATACAATCAGGGAACAAGGTGAAGTTGAAGCCATCTATGGGCCAGAGATTTCATTTTGGTTAACTGACTTGACGTCGTTGATGTCGTTATGATGTACGAAGATGTTCTAGACCTGAGTCATCCTGGGGATAAATGATCTCGGAAGAAATGATGTTCTGGAGAAGGGTACAATCAGTGTAGTTGCTGTTGGCTGCCCGTCTTGTTGTGTAGAAGTTGTCTTCTCATTGTCTCTACGAATTAACATTATCCTCTCAAGGCCGACACGTCAATATTTGTTTAGTGCTGAGTGACATCAGCACCACCCAGGGATGTGTTGTGTTTATGTCCTGTTATATGAGGGAGAGAGAGGGGGAGAGAGAGAGGGAGAGAGGAGAGGGAGAGAGGAGAGGGAGAGAGAGAGAGGGAGAGAGAGGGAGAGAGAGGGGGAGAGAGGGAGAGAGAGAGAGGGAGAGAGAGGGAGAGAGAGAGAGGGAGAGAGAGAGAGAGGGAGTGAGAGAGTGAGAGAGTGGGAGAGAGGGAGAGGGAGAGAGAGGGAGAGAGAGAGGGAGAGAGAGAGAGAGAGAGAGAGAGAGAGAGAGAGAGAGAGAGAGAGAGAGAGTGAGAGAGAGAGACCGACAGACGACATGCCAACATGTCAACACTGTTTAAGGGTCATCAGAGATTGTGATGACGATAATGACCATGCGATGGCAAGCACTGAAACTTGCATGTGTTGAATGTTAGTGCAAATTGTCCAGCACAACACAGGTAGTGGGAACAGTGAGTGTAAACTACCACCAACACAGGTAGTGGGAACAGTGAGTGTAACTACCACCAACACAGGTAGTGGGAACAGTGAGTGTAACTACCACCAACACAGGTAGTGGGAACAGTGAGTGTAACTACCACCAACACAGGTAGTGGGAACAGTGAGTGTAACTACCACCAACACAGGTAGTGGGAACAGTGAGTGTAACTACCACCAACACAGGTAGTGGAACAGTGAGTGTAACTACCACCAACACAGGTAGTGGGAACAGTGAGTGTAACTACCACCAACACAGGTAGTGGGAACAGTGAGTGTAACTACCACCAACACAGGTAGTGGGAACAGTGAGTGTGGTGCAGTTCCTTACGTTAATTAAAATACATGTTCTAGCCTCAGGTGTTTGTTGATTGAACGAGAGTAGAGGGAGGGATGGAATGATGGAGGGATGGAATGATGGAGGGATGGAATGATGGAGCAGAGCAGCCAGCTGCTCCATCAACATAATTGATCACCTCTTATGAGTGTCAGTTTGTTGTACTTCCCATCAACTCCAACAGCTACGTGAGTTACTGTAGTTGTCAGGTTATAATGAAGGGTTCATTGTAGGAACATTATAGAGAATAATGAAGTGAACAGGAACATTGTAATGGAAGATTTGGTCAGGAAATGAGGAGTGTTGGTTTGTTAGTTGTGCAGTGGTTATACTGCATGTTATGATATCACCGTTTACTGTGTTCTTATTGTGTAATATAACCACATAATGTGGAGAACCACCTTACTCTCCACGACTACATAGTCTTCAGGACTATAGTCTTCAGGACTACATAGTCTTCACGACTATAGTCTTCACGACTACATAGTCTTCAGGACTATAGTCTTCAGGACTACATAGTCTTCAGGACTATAGTCTTCACGACTACATAGTCTTCAGGACTATAGTCTTCAGGACTACATAGTCTTCACGACTATAGTCTTCACGACTCATAGTCTTCAGGACTATAGTCTTCAGGGACTACATAGTCTTCAGGACTATAGTCTTCACGACTACATAGTCTTCAGGACTATAGTCTTCAGACTACATAGTCTTCACGACTATAGTCTTCAGACTACATAGTCTTCAGGACAGCTACATAGTCTTCAGGACTACATAGTCTTCAGGACTACATAGTCTTCACGACTATAGTCTTCACGACTACATAGTCTTCAGGACTAAATAGTCTTCACGACTACATAGTCTTCAGGACTACATAGTCTTCAGGACTACATAGTCTTCAGGACTACATAGTCTTCAGGACGATAGTCTTCAGGACTACATAGTCTTCAGGACTACAAATTCTTCATGACTACATAGTCTTCAGGACTACATAGTCTTCAGGACTACATAGTCTTCAGGACTACATAGTCTTCAGGACTACATAGTCTTCAGGACTACAAATTCTTCATGACTACATAGTCTTCACGACTACATAGTCTTCAGGACTACATAGTCTTCAGGACTACATAGTCTTCACGACTACATAGTCTTCACGACTACATAGTCTTCAGGACTACATAGTCTTCAGGACGATAGTCTTCAGGACTACATAGTCTTCAGGACTACATAGTCTTCAGGACTACATAGTCTTCAGGACTATAGTCTTCAGGACTACATAGTCTTCAGGACTACATAGTCTTCAGGACGATAGTCTTCAGGACTACATAGTCTTCAGGACTACATAGTCTTCAGGACTACATAGTCTTCAGGACTACATAGTCTTCAGGACTACATAGTCTTCAGGACTATAGTCTTCAGGACTACATAGTCTTCAGGACGATAGTCTTCAGGACTACATAGTCTTCAGGATTACATAGTCTTCAGGACTACATAGTCTTCAGGACTATAGTCTTCAGGACTACATAGTCTTCAGGACTACATAGTCTTCAGGACTAAATCGTCTTCAGGACTACATAGTCTTCAGGACTACATAGTCTTCAGGACTACATAGTCTTCAGGACTATAGTCTTCAGGACTACATAGTCTTCAGGCCTACATAGTCTTCAGGAGTAATCGTCTTCAGGACTAATAGTCTTCAGGACTAACATAGTCTTCAGGACTACATAGTCTTCAGGACTAAATCGTCTTCAGGACTACATAGTCTTCAGGACTACATAGTCTTCAGGACTACATAGTCTTCAGGACTAAATGTCTTCTAGGACTACATAGTCTTCAGGACTACATAGTCTTCAGGGACTACATAGTCTTCAGGAACTATAGTCTTCAGGACTAAATCGTCTTCAAGGACTAACATAGTCTTCAGGACTACATAGTCTTCAGGACTACATAGTCTTCAGGACTACATAGTCTTCAGGACTACATAGTCTTCAGGACTAAAATCGTCTTGCAGGACTACAATGTCTTTCAGGACTACATAGTCTTCAGGACTACATAGTCTTCAGGACTACATAGTCTTCAGGACTACATAGTCTTCAGGACTAAATCGTCTTCAGGACTACATAGTCTTCAGGACTACATAGTCTTCAGGACTACATAGTCTTCAGGACTACATAGTCTTCAGGACTACATAGTCTTCAGGACTACATAGTCTTCAGGACTAAATTGTCTTCAGGACTACATAGTCTTCAGGACTACATAGTCTTCAGGACTACATAGTCTTCAGGACTAAATCGTCTTCAGGACTTCTAAAGTCTTAGGACTACATAGTCTTCGACTAATAGTCTTCAGGACTACATAGTCTTGAGACTAATAGTCTTCAGGACTACATAGTTTCAGGCTAAATTGTCTTCAGGAACTACATAGTCTTCGACTTAACTAGTCTTCAGGACTACAAAGTCCTCCGGACTTCATAGTCTTCTGACTCGGTGCTCACTTCACAAGTTGAAGGTTTGAGGGACGTGATACCTCATCTTTTGTTGATAGTTCTACAGTCTTCACATTATGTCCTTGTCACTGTAAAGCCACTGGAGGGCGACGAAACTCCATATTTGCCATGGTCTAATTCTTCACGAATCGTATAACTCACGACTTACGCCATCGTTCCACAACCCAAGTCCTGTTCGTGGTTGTTACTCCAGTGGTAACACACTTAAAGCTGATAGATAGTTCAGAGAACCCGACAAGTTGATGACTAACAAGACTTGTGCTACACTTGGGTATTGAACAAGATGTCTTATTCCATCAACACTGACATATTGATAGCACTTGCACGGCCTGTCACGGACCGGCCGTGGGGGCGTTGACCCCCCGGAACACCTCCAGGTATACTCAGGTATGATTACATAATTCTCCTCCCACGGGAGTATCATCACAATAGTGTGTACAAGCCTGTGTCACCACCAAGCCTTACGTGGACTGCCTGCAAACAGCAGGGCACACGCAGTAACAGCAGTAGTCCCAACAGCAGAAGACCAGCAACAGCAACAGGGAGTATCCTCGCTGAAGGAACAACTGGCTGCTATCACAGGTATGTAAAACACTGTCTCTGTCTCTGTCTGTCCATCCACCTGTGACTGTCCTCTCACACCACCTGTGACTGTCCTCACACACCACCTGTGACTGTCCTCTCACACCACCTGTGACTGTCCTCTCACACCACCTGTGACTGTCCTCACACACCACCTGTGACTGTCCTCTCACACCACCTGTGACTGTCCTCTCACACCACCTGTGACTGTCCTCTCACACCACCTGTGACTGTCCTCTCACACCACCTGTGACTGCCTCCACACACCTGTGACTGTCCTCTCACACCACCTGTGACTGTCCTCTCACACCACCTGTGACTGTCCTCACACACCACCTGTGACTGTCCTCACACACCACCTGTGACTGTCCTCTCACACTGTGACTGTCCTACACACCACTGTGACTGTCCTCACACCCACCTGTGACTGTCCTCTCACACCACCTGTGACTGTCCTCTCACACCACCTGTGACTGTCCTCCACACCACCTGTGACTGTCCCACCACCACCTGTGACTGTCCTCACACCACCTGTGACTGTCCTCTCACACCACCTGTGACTGTCCTCAACTACCACTGTGACTGTTCACACACCTGTGACTGTCCTCTCACACACCTGTGATGTCCTCCACACCACCTGTGACTGTCCTCTCACAATCCACCTGTGACTGTCCTCACAACCACCTGTGACTGTCCTCACACACCTGTGACTGTCCTCTCACACCACCTGTGACTGTCCTCACACACCACCTGTACTGTCTCTCACACCACCTGTGACTGTCCTCACACACCACCTGTGACTGTCCTCATCACACCACCTGTGACTGTCCTCACACACACCTGTGACTGTCCTCTCACACCACTGTGACTGTCCTCTCACACCACCTGTGACTGTCCTCTCACACCACTGTGACTGTCCTCTCACACCACCTGTGACTGTCCTTCACACCACTGTGACTGTCCTCTCACACCACTGTGACTGTCCTCACACACACCTGTGACTGTTCCTCTCACACCACCTGTGACTGTCCTCTCACACCACCTGTGACTGTCCTTCCACACCACCTGTGACTGTCCTCTCACACCACCTGTGACTGTCCTCTACACACCACCTGTGACTGTCCTCACAACCACCTGTGACTGTCTCTCCACCCTGTGACTGTCCTCACACACCACCTGTGACTGTCCTCACACACCATGTGACTGTCCTCACACACCACCTGTGACTGTCCTCTCACACCACCTGTGACTGTCCTCACAACCTGTGACTGTCCTCCACCACTTGACTGTCCTCCACACCACCTGTGACTGTCCTCTCACACCACCTGTGACTGTCCTCCACACCACCTGTGACTGTCCTCTCACCACCTGTGACTGTCTCCACACCACTGTGACTGTCCTCACACACCACCTGTGACTGTCCTCTCACACCACCTGTGACTGTCTCCCCACCACCTGTGACTGTCCTCCAACCACCTGTGACTGTCCTCTCACACCACCTGTGACTGTCCTCACACACCACTGTGACTGTCTCACACACACCTGTGACTTCCTCACACACCACCTGTGACTGTCCTCTCACACCACCTGTGACTGTCCTCACACACCACCTGTGACTGTCCTCCACAACACCTGTGACTGTCCTCTCACACCACCTGTATGTCCTCACACACCACTGTGACTGTCCTCTCACACCACCTGTGACTGTCCTCAACACCACCTGTGACTGTCCTACACACCACCTGTGACTGTCTCTCACACCACCTGTGACTGTCCTCACACCACCTGTGACTGTCTCTACACCACCTGTGACTGTCCTCTCACACCACCTGTGACTGTCCTCCACACACCTGTGACTGTCCCTCACACCACCTGTGACTGTCCTCACACACCACCTGTGACTGTCCTCACACACCACCTGTGACTGTCCTCACACACCACCTGTGACTGTCCTCTCACACCACCTGTGACTGTCCTATCACACCACTGTGACTGTCCTCTCACACCACTGTGACTGTCCTCACACACCACCTGTGACTGTCCTCCACACCACCTGTGACTGTCCTCACACACACCTGTGATGTCCTCCACAACACTGTGACTGTCCTCACACACCACCTGTGGACTGTCCTCACACACCACCTGTGACTGTCCTCTCACACACCACCTGTGACTGTCCTCCACACCCCGTGACTGTCCCCACAACCACCTGTGACTGTCCTCCACACCACCTGTGACTGTCCTCACACACCACCTGTGACTGTCCTCACACACCACCTGTGACTGTCCTCACACACCACCTGTGACTGTCCTCTCACACCACCTGTGACTGTCCTCTCACAACCACCTGTGACTGTCTCTCACACCACTGTGACTGTCCTACACACCACCTGTGACTGTCCTCTCACACCACCTGTGACTGTCCTCTACACCACCTGTGACTGTCCTTCACACCACTGTGACTGTCCTCTCACACCACCTGTGACTGTCCTCACACACCACCTGTGACTGTCCTCTCACACCACCTGTGACTGTCCTCTCACACCACCTGTGACTGTCCTCACACACCACCTGTGACTGTCCTCTCACACCACCTGTGACTGTCCTCTCACACCACCTGTGACTGTCCTCACACACCACCTGTGACTGTCCTCACACACCACCTGTGACTGTCCTCTCACACCACCTGTGACTGTCCTCACACACCACCTGTGACTGTCCTCTCACACCACCTGTGACTGTCCTCACACACCACCTGTGACTGTCTCAACACCCTTGCTGTCCTCTCACACCACTGTGACTGTCCTCTCACACCACCTGTGACTGTCCTCACACACCACCTGTGACTGTCCTCACCATTATGTTCACCACACTGTGACTGTCCTCACACACCACCTGTGACTGTCCTCACACACCACCTGTGACTGTCCTCTCACACCACCTGTGACTGTCCTCACACACCACCTGTGACTGTCCTCACACACCACCTGTGACTGTCCTCACACACCACTAATAGAAGTAAGTCAGTCTATCTAACTGTTCTGCGTTATCCTAGTTAGCAATATTTCTAACCCCAGATAACTCGTACTCAAGAACTGTCATCGAATAATCTGAAAATATATATAGAAATATTGAGTTTCTCATAATAACGGTAATAATAATAATAGTTATTAATTTGTTAGGCAGTGTTTTATTGCAGCAGAGAGAGTAGTGACAGGTGTTTAATGGTTAGTTTTAAGATGTTAAGGTGATAATGGATTAAAAATACAGGTGTTGTGGGGTCGTAGCACAGGTGTTGGCTAGGTGGTACATGGCAGGTGTTATTGCAGGGTAGAACTAAGATATCCAGTGTAATGTAAGTGTTTATCCAGCTTAATGTTAAGTATTTGTTGACAGGGTCTAGGCTGGAAGGTGCTGGGGGAGCGGCGCCCCCGCCACTACTCTCTCATATTCTGGTCACTGACCAAGGTCACTTCCACACACACTCTACCAAGTTCCCCGTGAGTACTTATTCTACTCCTCTACCTTCTTTAATCTACCTTACTACATGTTTACTCTACCAGAGTACTTTGTACCTCCCAGAGTACTTTATATCTCCCAGAGTACTTTGTTCCTCCCAGAGTACTTTGTACCTCCCAGAGTACTTTGTGCCTCCCAGAGTATTTTGTACCTCCCAGAGTACTTTGTACCTCCCAGAGTATTTTGTACCTCCCAGAGTACTTTGTACCTCCCAGAGTACTTTGTGCCTCCCAGAGTACTTTGTGCCTCCCAGAGTATTTTGTACCTCCCTGAGTACTTTGTGCCTCCCAGAGTATTTTGTACCTCCCAGAGTATTTTTGTGTTCCCAGAGTATTTTGTACCTCCCAGAGTACTTTGTGCCTCCCAGAGTATTTTGTACCTCCCAGAGTACTTTGTGCTTCCCAGAGTATTTTGTACCTCCCAGAGTATTTTGTACCTCCCAGAGTACTTTGTACCTCCCAGAGTACTTTGTGCCTCCCAGAGTACTTTGTGCCTCCCAGAGTATTTTGTACCTCCCTGAGTACTTTGTGCCTCCCAGAGTATTTTGTACCTCCCAGAGTACTTTGTACCTCCCAGAGTACTTTGTGCTTCCCTCTCTATACTGTCTGTGTAGTAGTTACTAGTTCCCAAAGGCACTTGTCGATTGACACTTAGCCTGATTTGTGTGTGTGTGTACTGTTCCTTTCTTACTAAGTTTCCTGTATATATAGCACGATGTATATGTGTCAGCGTATATACACTCAGAAATGTACGTCTCTGTACATCTCTGTGAATTCACACTAAGATTTATATCTGTGTATATACACTGAGAGGCGTATATCTGTGTATATACACTGAGAGGCGTATATCTGTGTATATACACTGAGAGGCGTATATCTGTGTATATACACTGAGAGGCGTATATCTGTGTATATACACTGTAAGTTTAATCAATATTTCTCCTGTATATTTTAAGTATTCTTGACTGGTGGGTTACATGCAGCTCTTAATAACCTTCTTATAGTATATTTGAAACCCAGGTAACCACACCCTCCCACCCACCGTGCCCAGCCACCCACCCACCCACCCCCCCAAACGTGCCCCCCCAAACTTACAGCTACGTCAGGTTGGGTCTCCCTGGTGGGCACCACGCCCACCTTGTTCCTTGTTCCGTTACTTTACTGTTATCAGAGTTTGGGCAGTTATAGAGGTAACTTATGTCTCCCCTCCCAATCTCTCCCTTCCCCTTTCCCCCTCCCTCTCTCTCTCCTTCCCTTCCCCTCCCACTCTCTCCCTTCCCTTCCCTCCCCCCCCTCTCTCTCCCTTCCCTTCCCTCCCCACTCTCTCCCTTCCCTTCCCTCCCCTCTCTCCCCCCTTCCCTCCCTCCCTCTTCTCCCTTCCCTCCCTCCCTCTCTCTCCCTTCCCTCCCTCCTCTCTCTCCCCCTCCCTTCCTCTCTCTCCCTTCCCCCTCCCTCCTCCCTTCCCTTCCTCTCACTTCCCCTACCTCTCTCTTCCCTCCATCTCTCTTCCCCCCCTCTCTCTCCCTCCCTCCCTGCCTCCCTCTCTCTCCCCTCCCTCCCCTTCCCCCCCCTCCCTCCCTCTCCCTTCCCTCCCTCCTTCTCCCTTCCCTCCCTCTCTCTCCCCTCCCTCCCTCACTCTGGTCACATATACAGTAGTATGCAGATTAATTAGAACAGTAAATTTTGTGATCTCATAATATGTCTTAGTCTCCAGTTTAATTAATATACTTTGAGTTTTCTTGTTATAAGAGTTTGCTACTGACTTCTGTCAGTCATCCAGCTGTGGTGTCACACTGCGACTTTTGTCACTGCTACAACAGCTGTTGTTCTGTAAGGCTGTTCCTGCAAGTGTGCTCCGTGAGTGAAAGTGGCTTCGCCAAATTCTTTCTTTCATGACTACTGAGGAAATTCGTGATGGATGTTACAACTAGGAAATGTGCAAGTATTGTAGGTCTTGAAAAACATGTTGATTTGAGTATCGAACAGATCGCTGAAAATTTGAGCCTAGCAAAGTCAACTGTTGGCCGGATTCTGAAGAGAGCTGACGACACTGGTGACTGTGGAGCGCTGCGTCCAGGAAGATGTAGAAAACAACGCAAGACAACACCTCATAGTGTGAAGGATCCCAAGAAAACCAGCAAAGATCTACAGAGATATTTGGCTTCAGCTGGAGTAAATGTTTATTTTTCAACTGTTCAACGAAGGCTCCTTGAAGTTGACAGCAATGCCAGAAAGTCAGTAAAGAGAAACACTTGACTGCTGTTATGAAGGAAAAAAACAGGTGCGGTGGGTACTCGATGATAAAGTTTGGACGACAGATGACTGGAGAAAAGTTATATTTTCAGATAAGGAGCAGTTTGAAGTACAGTAGAACCTCTCTATTCGGATGAACCTTTATTCGTAAAATCCAGTATTGGGAAAACAGCTAGAGAAAAAAAAATTACGGATATTCGTAGATGTGAGTCTTGTGAACGACGCAGCTTATTGAACTTTTGTCTCAAATGTTATTTTTGTATAACTTTGTTATTTTTTATTTTATTATTGAAACTAAGTGATCATGGCCCCGAATAAGATTAGTGAAGAAAAACTAAAAGGAAAGCTGTAAGAACCACTAATGAATTAAAAAAGGAACTTATTTCAAAACTTATTTCAAGGAATTTGGCAGGTCAACATTGCTATATTTTTCTGTTGTAAAAAATAAAGGCGCAGTATAGAGCGCTAATGTGGTAACAGGAGTTAAAATTCTTGCAGGTTCATGTATGACTTCTTGCTCGTACATGTTATTTTACAAGTTTAATTAACTAATAATCTGACTTAAAAATGGTTTGTGAAGAACAGCTTTCGATCTGGAACGAATTAATCCAATTTACATTATTTCTTATGGGAAAAACTGATCCAATATTGAGAAAGTTCAGTATTCAGAACATTCAGGAACCAGTTAATTCGGAATACTGAGGTTCGACTGTACATGGAAACAGTGAGACGAAGCAAAGGAAAACCTCTTCAGAATGGACACATTCAACATCCACCCGAGATATTTTGGGATAGTTTTACTGCTAAAGGCCTTGAACAATTTGTTGAGGAAACGATGAACAGTGACAAATACAAGGTAATCCTGGCAACTCACTTCCTTCCCATCGTGGATAGAGACTTTCCTGATGGAGAAGGCATTGTCCAGCAGGATCTTGTTCCATGCCACTTCCAGAAAAATGCTGACAGTCTTCGAAGAGAGTGGACTAAGCATTCTAAACAGGCCTGGAAACTCTCCTGACCTCAACCCAATTGAGAATCAATGAGCAATAACCAAACGCAGGGTGGCAAAATAGCACTGTTCACCTGTGGAGAAGTTAATTGCTGTTATTAGGACCTGGTACCACAAGGAAGAACTTGCCAAAATGTGTTCAACATTGGTCGATTCTATGCCACAGCATGTAGTAATGATTATAAAAGCAAAGAGCAGTCATATCTCTTATTAAATCATGTCATATCATAATTTGATATACCTTCGATGAGTTTCGAGAGTCCTACTACTCTCTGAGCCCGGTCATGGGTCAGGCTCGTCTGGTGCTTGCCTGGTCAACCAGGCCGTGTATTTTTCAAATAAACATTAATTTTCAAAATAAATGTCGTATTTCATCACTGTCACAATTAATATACACATTAGTGTACATAACAGGTAGTGTGAGAGTAACTTCCACTACACACCTGACCAACATTACTCTTTCTGGGAGACTCTCGCAAGTGTTCAAGAAATGTCAAGTATTGTATCCACTATGATATATCTGTTTACCTGCAGGTTGTTTTGGGGGGTCAGCGCCCCCCGTGGCCCGCTCCATGACCAGACCAGCTGCATCAACCAGGCTCTGCTTCTGGGCCACCAACATTTTCAATGTTTATAACATTTAATGACAGTTTATGACCTTTAATGGTCATGTTTATGACTTTTGATGAGGTGTTCATGACTTTTAATGACAATGTTTATGACCTTTAATATTTATGACTAATGTTCATTACCTTTAATGTTTACGGCCTTCAATGGTCATGTTTATGGCCTTTAATGGCGGTGTTTGACCTTTAATGTCCATCTTTAGGACCTTTAATAACTGTGTTTATGACTTTTAATGGCCATGTTTATGACCTTTAATAATGTTGCTAGCTACAACACCAACTGTGGTGTTAATGTGAGAATGTTGTACATAGCCTGTGTTTGATCTTTAATTATGTTGCGTCCATGTTGATATTAGCAAGGGAAAGTTCTCTCCGACCCTTGAACTTAATCCAGAATGAAGCCCTCACAATTATTCTTGGCTATCCTAAATCTACCAAGGTTCTTAATAAACCATACCCCCTGCCGGGATTGAACCCGCGGTCATAGTCTCAAAACTCCAGCCCGTCGCGTTAGCCACTGGACTAGCTAGCCACAATAAGATTCATCCAACTGACTGCAGTGAAGGGACTTGAGCTAGAGTTCGTCACGGCCACGCTAGCTGGAGATTCGTCTGTAAAAACTTGCATTTGTGGTCACAGTGGTGCCTGTGCTAACCTTCCTATGGTGTAGAAATATACCTAGTTGGATGAATCTTATTGTGGCTAGCTGGTCCAGTGGCTAACGCGACGGGCTGGAGTTTTGAGACTCTATGGCCGCGGGTTCAATCCCGGCCGGGGGTATGGTTTGTTTGCAATCGTGTCATTACGATTTCTTGAGTCAAGGTTCTTAATATAAGAAAGGGACTGTGGTTCGTACTTTGGATTGCGTGCAGCCAGCAGTAACAGCCTGGTTGATGAGGCCCTGATCCACCATGAGGCCAGGTCACAGACCGGGCCGCGGGGGCGTTGACCCCTGGAACTCTCTCCAGGTAAACTCCAGGTAAACAAAAAAAGGCACAATACCGTGACTGGAACAGTATTAGTGATAGTATACTACCAAGGTTCTGAATATAAGGAAGGAACTTGATGTGTCTAGTATCAGTGATAGTATACTA